GGCAGGACTGTTCTGGTGCTGTTGGCATGGGTCCTGCCAGGTGCTGCATCCAGAGGCAGCGTGCAAAGCCCCTTGGGTTGGAACAGTAACTTGGGAGTGCGGGAGCCCTGACATCTGTGGAGCACCCAGAATCTCTGGGCTGGCTGGTTATTGGCCTGATGTCCCTACCTTCACCATGACTTTTGTTCCCTACGATGGTGAGTGTTGCAGGCCCCCGTGCCAACCCCTGGTGCTGCACTCCCCACCTCTGCACAGTGGGGTCTGGGCTCCCTTAATTTAATGCACCAGGTTTCTGATTTGGGCTTTGTTGTCACAGATCGAAAGCAAACCTGCTTCACCTTAATAGATCTTGCAGCATGTGTTTGTGTACACAGATCTGATAAAAAAACAAACAACCACCAACAGGGTGCACAGAGCTGCTCGGTGTGTTGCTGTAGACTTTGTCTAATGTGAAAGTGCTGAGAGGACATCTCTTGGCAGGTGTGGTTTTCCCTAAGCCGTGGTTGACAGCTCTGAGAACAGGACTGAGAAAAGATGGGGTACAGTCTGCTGGGTGCCAGGCCTGGGCAAATAAGGAATTCTGATGGCAACCAGTGGGGCCCGAGAGTAAAAGATGTGACCTGGGGGTCTGGGGAGAGCACAGACCTGTTGCTGTGGCACTCTGACAGTGAAGCTTGGCTTAGATAAGGGCTCGGGCTTGAACAACAGAATCGGTTGTGGTTTTTGAATGAAGAGCCTCTTCCTTGTGAAAGTCGTCCCAGAAAGCACAGGAGAGAGCACAGCAAGTGTGACTCAGGGCAGGCCAGGCGGCAGTAACGCCGCCGACAGGACAGGGTTTGACAGAGAAAGGCAGTCTGGCTTTTTTGAGCAATTTACTGGAAGGGGAATTCCATTCTGAAACTTCCTGTATTGATGGTGTGATGTTCCCTGCTGATTCATTTGCAGTGTGTACAGCGGCCTCCCTGAGCAGCTCTTGACAAACATATGCAAATCATCGTGGAAATTAGCTTTTACTTCCTTCTAAGGGAATTTTTTCTTGGCTGCTGCCAAATCAGATCAGCCCAATTAGCTGCCTTCTGTAGATCTGAGATTGGTAGCAGAGGCTCAAAAAAAGAAAAATCTCTGCTTTTCTCATTTGTTTCTAAAAGGCTATAGTAACTGTATCTGGCTGCCTATAGCAAAACCAATCTGACACTGGAGAAAATTTTAGAGCATCTTTCCTCTGATTGTTGACGTCAGCCTTTCTGTAATGTGGGATTCTTAATAAAGATGTGTTAAGTGTCTCTTTAGGTGTTAGTTTTGGTGTTAAATGTAAGTTCTTATAAAAGAATTATTTTGGCCCAACTCTTTTTCTTAATACCTTCAGAGAAGGGTGAGGACAGGAGGAGAAATAGTTTCCTTCTAGTGGTACAGTTGTAGTACAGTAAAAGTGCTCCTCAGCAGTGCCTCTGCTGGGGTGTAAGCTCTTTAATTACTTTGTGGAGGAGTTCACTAGCATGCTGGGTGGTGGTGGGAGTTGAAATGTCATTCAGGCCTAGATGGGCACTGCCCCTGCCCCAAGTCTTATTCTTCCCCGACTGGGGAGAATCTTACTGAATTATGAGGCCAGTTATCGTTAGGATAGTACATCTTACCAGGGTGTCATTCTGAAACAGAGGCTATTAGATCCACAGAATGACACGCTGGGCTGTAATACAGGAATGTTGAAAGTTTGCCAGAACTGTTATCAGCAGAAGAGCTGATTACGCTGTAAATAGTGGCACTTGTGAAACAGGAGTGGTGGTTTCCTCTTAGAAGTTCTGGAAACTTATTGATATGACCTAATGAATAATTAAGCAGCAGCTTTGGTATGTGGTTTCATTGGATGCATTGGTACATCATACGTAGTTTCTGATGCTGTTGTCAAACTTTGTTCTCAAACCACCAAGTGCTGTTAAGACATTCAGCACTGATCCTGTTAATGGAGAATGTTGCAATATCGTGCAAATAGTGCATTTTTCCACAGTGCTGATGTTTTTGAGTGCATAAATTGCCTTGTTTTCCTTAACTTTACAATCAAAAACACCTAGTGAGGGCGCAGTTGACACTGGCAGAGGTTAGCCACTGGTGCTAGCTGGCAGAACAGGACAAAGGATGTTCAAGATCACATTGTACTTAGGGCTAAAAATAAAGATCTCGAGTCCAGAGTTGCAGCTGCTCTGAAACAGCCTTTGCTCCAACACTTACGACTACTTTCTTCCTGCCACTGAGGATTTGGGTATTTTTTGGTATGCTGAGGTGCTAAAAGCAGCAATAATTCTGTGAAGATCTTAGTGCTGCTGTTTGCACAAGGTGAGCAATGAGTACTGACTGTGCTACTCTAACACTTCTTTGCTAAAGGTTGTCTGAATTGCTGGATCCATTTGCTTAGTGTATTGCCTGACTAGTCTGTACATAACCTGAACACTGAAATTCTCAATTTTCTTCTTTGATGCAGCCATGGAAATAAAGAAGTGTTCTCCTGCCGAGGTATCCTTCTAGCTGTCCAGTGGTTTTGGGACAGAGGACACAAGGATATTACAGTCTTTGTGCCATCTTGGAGGAAGGAGCAGCCACGACCAGATGTACTTATAACAGGTGTGGAGATACAAAAACCAAAAGTAGCTTTTCAGACTTACTGCTTTGTCACTTAATGAGCTTGCAAAGTTCTGGCTAGTTAGTAATTAACTTATGAATGGAAGATCTGAGTAGTAGGAGTAAGCTGAGCTGACCAGTGAGAACTAGTCATTAACTTCTCCCCTAAGCAAGTTCTTGCCTGGATCAGTTGGAATAATTCGGAGAACAAAGAATGTAATACTACTCTGCATCCTAACTTCGTGTCTTTTATTACTTGCATTGTTTTCCTCTTTCAGGGACGCATCTTCATGTATGTGACTGTAACATATTTGACACTGTAGACTGTGCAGAATTTCTACATGCTAAAAGTTAAAGCTTGATGAGAGTTTAGTCAAAACTATTAAGTTGAGAGGAGTTTGCTCTGAACTTGCAAACAGCTGAGATTTCTAAGTAACTCTACTCAAATCTCTGCATGTAGTATGGCACTGCAAAAGATACCAGCCTGCCAGCCTTAGATGCAATCGCACTTTGCATCCAAAGGATTCTGTGGATGTGACTTGCTGTATTACAGCAGCCTCTGCAGTGTGCACTGGGTGTTCTCGGGTGCCGTGCAGGGCACCGCAGCTGGGAACCCACCTCTGGCAGCCTGATGGGTGGGTAAGAACAGGGATGAGAATACAGGCTGGGTTGTGGAGAGATTAAATGACTTTACATGAATTTTGTCATTTATTTATAATGTTACTTTATCTGTGTGAAGGCCTTTGGGCCATGTAAGTGTGTTCACAGTTGTGTTTGTTCTAGACCAGTACATTCTCCGTGACCTTGAAAAGAAGAAAATTCTGGTCTTCACTCCTTCCAGGCGGGTTGGAGGCAAGCGTGTCGTCTGTTATGATGATCGATTCATTGTGAAACTGGCACATGAGTCTGATGGCATTGTGGTTTCTAATGATACTTATCGGGACCTGCAGAATGAGCGTCCTGAGTGGAAGAAATTCATTGAGGAGCGTCTGCTGATGTACTCCTTTGTTAACGACAAGTATGTTCTTATTCTTCCTCTGCTTTTAAAAAAGATCTGTGTAAACATGCTGTCCTGTTTTAATGAAGCAATGGCAAGTGATGCATGAAAAGAGCGAAATGTTGGTACAGAATGGAAAAAAAAATCCTGCGGAGATTTTTTGGGTAGAAGAAAGTGTGGTGGGAAGAAGTGCCCGACTGTGATGAGGTACAAAGGTATAAGGATTTGGAGTCATCTTAATAGCTGCTCATGCTCTGGGGCTAGTTCTGCTGTAGTGGTGTTCCTAGGATTGCTCCAGGAGGACTTGATTTCCTCACAGGACGATCATTAGCAGACCCAGCAGCAAGTACTAGTTCTGGTCAGCAACAGAGCACAAAACCTGTTCTGTGCCTGAAGTGAAGCACTTCATGCCAGTCTTTATTAGGTGGCAGGAGAGGTGGCACTGCAGTGGAAAGGGAAAGCTTTTCAGGGCTCAGATAGCATTTAACCTTCAATGAAATGGGAGGCTTCTAGAAGAAAGGAAGCCCTGACCCAAGAAAGTGAACTGCTGCTGATTGAGATTTACTTTTTCGTTAGGTTTATGCCTCCAGATGATCCCTTAGGGCGACATGGCCCCAGCCTGGATAACTTTCTCAGAAAGAAACCTGTAGTGCCAGAACACAAGAAACAACAGTGCCCTTATGGTAAGACCTGCCTTCTAAACGTGAAGACCAAGATGTCTGGGCAAGTAATTCATGCATTTAGTAAAATTGAGCTGATCATTCCATGCTCTACCTTTTCTTGCAGGGAAGAAATGCACTTACGGAATTAAGTGTAAATTCTACCATCCTGAAAGGATCAATCAGCCCCAGCGCTCATTAGCTGATGAACTCCGAGCCAATGCAAGGTTGTCTCCTACCAGAAGTACCGGTGCCAAGGAGGAGAAAAAGGGCAAAAGAGGTTCCCAGGCAGAACTCTTGTGCTCTGTGCCCACAGAGGGTGATAAAAGCTCTTTGCAGAAGGTCTCTGCAGAGAGAAAGAGCTTGACCCACAAAGCAAAGCCCAGCGATCTTCTCCTTCAGGTCAAAGGCTGTGTGTCAGGCAGTGTCCCTCCTAACAGTGGGAGCCACAGGTCCTCTGACAGGTACCAGCAGCCTCATATGGACTCTCTGTCTTACATCTCTCAGGAGCATCTCGACTCAGGTATTGGGTCTTTGGAGAACCAACTGTCTGACATGTGGCCTTACAGATCTACCAGTCACTGTGATCATTCCCATGCTGATCAGGTGGCAGTCTGCACCTGTGGTAGACAGAGACCTGTCTACCCACATTCTCCCAGCTTAGAGCAAAATGGTCTGGTCTCTTACAAGCATGGTTCCCATAAATCTTCATCTGGTGCTAGCTTCTTGCAGTATAGCCCTGAGATGTCTCATTCAGGACCACCTCACTCTTTCTCAGGCTATGGAGTACCTGTACACCCAGCTAATGCTGGACAATACAGTCTGCCCAGTGAGTATAACACCCCTCCGCCTCCTTCTCGCGAGTACTGGTCTGAACCATACCAGATGCCCCCTCCTCAAGTGAGATCTACCAGTGTGCGAGATCCTCGTTCAGTGCAAAGAGCCCCAGGGCCAACCTACGGGGACTCCTGCCAGTGGGCTGTCCCTGACCAGTTCGCAGAGGAGCGGGCCAACGTGCACATCAAGCTGTGTGGCATATTCCATCCCCATTTAGTTGATGCTGTGATGAGCCGTTTCCCTCGGCTGCTCGACCCCCAGAGGCTGGCTGCAGAGATCCTGACGTACAAGTCCCAGAACCCGGGTATATGAGGCAGGTGCCGAGGGCTGCTAGCTTGAGGGGCAGTGTCTGCACGCTGCAGCTGCCATAAGTGCCTTCTGAGAGCTCCTCCTTATTCCTTGGAAGCACCAGGCTCCAGCTGGAGGCTGGATACCAGATGAGGTATGCTTACAACAAGTTCTGGTCTAGACAAGACACTCTGCCCCTCATCAAGAGGCAGCCTTGGGGTCCTGTCTGTGCCAGGGAGAGGTGAAGGGGCTCTGGGTGCTGGACAGGAGAAGAGGCTGCAGCTTCAGAGCAGGATTTTTCCTTTGGGATTGTGTGCAGTTCAGAACTGAATGTGGCCTCGCTCCTCCCATTAGCTTCAGTTTTTAGATGCTCAGTGTATTGTCACGCGTAGGGAGGGAGGGCTGGGGGGTTGTGGCAGAGAAGGGGGCACTCCTGCACCGTGGTGTGAGGCTTGTTTGCAAAGGCTGAAACGTGTTGTCAAGGCTGTTCTTGGCTCGTAACTAAGCCTCTTTACTAAATCCTGCCGTGCTGATCTGTGGAAAACGTTGGGTTATAAATCTAGTATGAAGCTAGGTTTAGCTGGCTTTAAACTGGCCTTACTGGTGCGCTGCTCTAAGGATGCTTTCCGTGCCGCTCCCGTTAAGCCTGCCTTCCTGAGACAGGCCGCTCTCCGTTTGTACCGCAAGTGCTTAGCAGGCTGCTCGGCTCCCAGGAAGGAGAGGAGCCGGAGCGGCCATCCTTCCTCGGGATGAGTGGGCTGACCCTGCTCCGCAGCCGCGTGAGCTGTTCGGCGTTGGCTGAAGAACGCGGTGGTGGCCACGCCGTCCTGCTGCTCCGACATCCGCCCTGGCCGGTGAGCGGCTGAGGCTGGCCGCGCGGCACCGGCACGGAGCATGGCCATGTTGTGCCTTTTGTCTTCAGACAGCAATAGTTCTGAGTGTTGGGTAAAACAGCTGCAGTCACGTCTGGCCTGCTGCCAGTACTGTTCCTGAGGATTCCTTAATCTTTTCCTCTGTGAAGCTGTTGCTTCATCTTCCTTAGCAACGTTTTCCTGTCCCCTTCAGCTTTGTCAAACTGTAGCAGCATCCAAAAACGTAGAATAAGACTTAATAGGTAAGACTGTTCCCCTTTCCTTCCCTCTTACTCTGTAAGGTGTTTTTTACTGTAGATACTGTAACAGATTTTAAATATGCAAAACCAATTGCTGTAGTAATTGGTTCTGGTCCTGGAATTTCATTGTGCTGAGAGTGCAAAGGTGTTTCTTGCACTTGCAGGCCAGAAGCAGTTGATTTGTTGATACACATTGTATCTGTGTGTTTTGTTATGTTTTTTAAATATGTCCTTCTCGTGGGTAAACCAAGGTTGTTGAGTGGCAAATTAGGAAGGGGGGAGTGGAATACAGCTGTTCCTGAGAGCCCTCTCCAGGAGCCGTTTTGTCTGTTGCTGTTCTTCCCTCTGCTTGTCCAAGGCGTGACCTGCCCAGACTGGCACCATGTGCCATAAAAACCACAGGGACACAGAAACCTGTATACCTGGTTAATTATGATACATTACAAATTAGTAATGTTTCATGTTAGTAAGCAAAATGCTTCTTAATTTTAAGTAACCTGATACTTTGCATATTTGTAAATTACAGGAAAAATGGTTTTTAATGTTATTGTCCAGCAACTTGCTGCTTGCTGCTGTTTTTAATTAGTACTATTCTCAACTCAGCCATTGTGTTACTTGGTGTGGTATTTTTTGTTTTTCTGGTGGAGTGCTGATATATGCTTCTTCTCTTGCAATCACAAGATTAACATTTTATACTCACAAGCTGATATTTTGCTGAACTTTCTGTATCATTATGCAGTATATAGTTTATGTACTGAATGGAGGCAGCTGTGTGAAAGCCATGGCAAAGTAAGAACTTGTGTTACATAAATAAAAGCTGCTGAGTTGAATTATTTGATCTCTGGTGGTTTTTTGGAAGACCATGCCATGTTTTGACTGGCTTTCCAGGAAAGTCAGAGATTGTCCTTCCTTAGGGTTCCTCTGACAATCTTAGATCTCCATATGCAGTCTAATAGTGGCAACACTCTGATGGCTGGATATTGACAGGCTGGTTAATTGGTACAGTGTGGCAGGTCAAAAAAAAGATTAATTGCTGTAGTTGATAATAGCTTGTCCAGTGTTCCCTGTTTATTCGGCATTGCTGAAGTTCCCTTGCTGCGCAGGGCATGCGTGGGCAGCCGAGGGGCAGGGAGGCAGCAGTGTGCTGGCATGTGGCTCCAACTGCGCCATGAGAACCGCAGCGTTGTCGGATGTCTGGGATGCTAAAATATAGTACACTGCTAATTATTTTGGAATAACTAGTGCAGGCTGTGATTCAGTTTTAATGGCCGATTGCACAGTACAGTCTGGAAATAAGTGCATATTTTAATCCAGTTCTGTAGCACATCTGTGCCAGATGTTGAGCACGATAATAGGCTAACTGTAACATGTCAAGACTTTGCTCTAAAGCTTTGTTATGAACTGGGAAGGAAATGCAGTAGGAATATCAATGCTCACGTTTCTGTATAAGAATCTTCCCCTCCCACCTGCTGTACTGCAGTACAGCACGTTCTTATCTGACTTGTTAAGTAACTTTATGGCCTTTCTTCAAATTTGTGCACTTAATTTACTATAGAGCAATGACTGTTTCTAGTTAATCAAGAACAAGGAAAGCAGGTGCTCTGGGAGACAGTGCTTTGTTTCAAAAAACAAATCTGAAATCTGAACCTCACAGTCTGAAAGGTCATTATTTAGTGGCTGTGGGAGAGGAACCCTCCTGAGGATGTCACCTGCAGTGCCAGTGAGCTGGTGTGGCTCTGTGTGTGTGTGATGGCTGTAGGGTCTCAGTGGGGAGGGGATTAAGGGATGCTCACAGATTTGATCAGACCTTTTAACCACGTGAAGGCTTTTCTGCTGTTTGTAGTGGGGTCTGTAGTTGAAAAATGCTGCAAGACTTCAAGGCTGGTCTTCCAGTAGAATACCTTAATAAGTAATTTTAGTTTTACTGGGTAATTTTAGTTCTACTAGATAATTTTAGTTCTGCAGGATGTGTAGATGTGAGGAGGATGTTTGGTTTTGTTTCTATCAGAGCTGAACTGATACAACTACAGAAATCAGGGCAGAAGCACCGAGATTCATCACCACAACCAGGAAGGGAAGAGCTGGTGGCGACTCAGTTTGGTTACGGTGTAACTTTTGTATCGCAGTGACAGTCCTGGTGGCACACAGAGCAGCTTGGGAGGGTCAGTCCCTAACGCAAATCTGGTCAAAATTATTCCCACAAACTGCTGCTGTGTGTGCTGCCGTGCCACCCAGAAAATCCAGCCACTGTTTCTCCGAGTTCTGTCACACAAGGCTCCTACATGAGCAAACCTGCCGCCTCCTGCCCCGGAGCATCCCGCGTTCGAATGGAAGTACGGCTTCTCCCGTGCCCCGGTGAGCCTGTTCTGTGCTGCTGGGGAACACGGGGAACATGGGGAATGCTGATCGGAACTGTCACTGCTGCACACTTCCCTCCCCACCCCGATCTCCTGCTCTGAGTCAGAGGAGCTGCCACCCGCACGCCGCCGCGCTCGGGCAGCGCTCGCTGTGCTGTTATTGTGGAATTTTCAAGACGCGTCCTGTGGCTCACCGCTTCCTCAGGGTGCATCGGTGGGGAGGACTGGCCGTGATTGCTGTGTGTGCTTGTCGTGTTTCTTATCCTCCTAAACTAGGTTAGATCTTCTGGTCAGCTCACGGAGTGAAGGAGGCCACGGGCAGATGCTGTTGAAGGTTCCCTGTACTGCAGCGGGCTGCTCTGCCTCCAGCCTTGGCCGTGTGCGGTTGGGGAGGCCCCGTGCTGAGCCCGCAGGAGGTTGACTCCTCTCCGAGCAGCTTTTCCTACCTGGAAGGTAGGGTGGGTGAGGAATCGCTGCTGTTCTCTCGGAGAGGGGGAGCTCCCAGGCTGAGCTGGAGAATGGGGTGCAGAAGGCTCCTGAGAAGTGTCAGGGCACAACCATGGGAAAGAAGAGGAATTGTTTGTTGGGCAGTGGGGCCAACGGGAGCTGGCAGAGCAACTGTGAGCTCTGCAAAACAAGTCTGGTGAGCCCATCCGTCGCCAGCTCTTCCCTTCCAAGTCAAGCGTGCTGTCCTGCACCCTCCAGCAGTGGTCAAGTCCCTCTCACTTGTCACCTGCGTTGTTTCCTACTGGTGCCAGTGCCCGTGCCCAGCCAGAGGGCATGGATGTGGCTGCATCCTGCTCAAAGGCACAAGGCAGAACAAAGGGAAGCAAGGATGGAGGGGTAGGGGTGGGAAATCTCTTTTGGTGTCAAAGTGAGGAGGCTGTGGGGGTGCTTGTGAGGAGGAATGAGGGGTCCCCTACTGTGTGCTGGGGATGAAGAACAGTCTCCTCTTTGCCTTCTCAGTTGTGCTGGAAATACAGAGAAGGTAATAAACATCATCCACTGCACAATAAAAGGACAAATGGGCAGGGGAAAAGCCCTCCTTCAGAAGTCAGTGCTGCAGGATATCTTTATTTTGGATTTTTTTGGTTTGTGTTATTTTTTTAAATCGATACTCCAAAGAGGGAAGGAAGGAAGAAAGGGGAAGCTGTGCTGTGGCAGAGGTCAGGGTAGAGGCTGCTGGATTCTTGTCTCTCTTCTCCTGTGCTGGGCAGTGACCCAGGAAGGGCCTGGGGCAGTGGATGCAGCCCCCTGCTCCCAGCCCCGGCGGCGCCCCGGCCGCCTCTCTGGGGTTTGCTCGTCTCCTCCGCCCCCGCTGCCTCGTGCCCTTCTTGCTGAACTTCCGCTTGAACCCATCTGGTTCCCTTCCATCGGGGATTTCCAGGATGTGGCTAGCTCAACTCCGTGTCTCTAGAGGCAGGAATCTGACCTGAGGCTCCTGTACAGCCGTGGGAAACGGGCTGCTGTGTAAGCCCCGGCCGCCTCTCTGGGGTTTGCTCGTCTCCTCCGCCCCCGCTGCCTCGTGCCCTTCTTGCTGAACTTCCGCTTGAACC